CCAGCCGCTCTTAAAAAATGTGTTACCAGCACAAATAGTCAATTTTTTAAACTACTCCAGAAACAAGAATCCAATACTTTGGTTTCAACTCAAGCTCTACATACACAAAATATTTTAGTTTCTGTTCCGATTCTGACAACTCTCAATTTGTCTCCATTAGTTATTGAAAACTTAACTCCAGTACCGCCTTCTTGCGGTGTGCCAAACGAATTGGCAAATATATCTTCCACAACTCGTATACAAACTCAAGATATCTCTCAATCTGAAACTTTAAATGCTCTAAATATACGACAGGTTAATAAACTCTCTATTCAAGCTCAAAATATATTCACTCCCACTTTCTTACATTTGAATAAAATTCCAACACAAAAATCTATCGACTTATTATCAATTGCAACACCTTGTGAAGAAGGTGATGTACATGCCGATTTTTTGAAAATCATTTCTCCTCCGAATAAGTCCATACCTCCTCCACTAATACACGAAAATCAAATACTCCTCTCACAGCCTCATACTGGCATGGCTGTTATCAAAGTTCTCTCAAGACAAACTTTTTTTACTCATACCACCTTACAATTTATTTCATTAGATTCAGTCGAACCTACCTTTTCTTCTGTTACCGTGGTCCTACCATTCGTAAAGGGCCAAGTAAAAACAACTCATGCAGTATTCGACAATATTCCGGTTTTGATGGCTCAGTCTGTCTTGCCGCCTCTTGATATAGTGAACGTCAATGTAACGTGCCCTTCTCCGTTGTTTACTGTCACTCATGTTCAAACTTTTGCTAATCAAACGACACACTCAGTGGCCTCTCATACTTTAAAAAGTTCTGCAAATATCGACAATATCTTGACCAGTGCCAATAACTTGAAAAGGATACACATACTTTATTCTCAACTATGCTCGCTTCTAAAAACTCGCAGTTTCCAATTCTATAAAATATATGTAAGTTGTCGTTCCTTTTCAAATGAATTTAATCTGATATCCACTTCAGAAGTCAATCTTGACTTAGTTAACAGTTTCTCTAAGGTCTTAGGTATTAACAGGTCACCGTATCAAGACGATTTTTCTTTTAAGTTGCCTGTTTGCGAAAAGGCGCCTCCCTTAACAAAAAGAAAATTATGTGCCTATGTGTCTCGAATGTATAACTTCTTAGAAAACTCTTATCTTTTAGAGTACACTCTAAATCTTTCGTACAACGCCTCTGGCCATTGTCCTTAGACTGGGACAATGATATATTAGATGATCTATTAATCTCGTATTGGAAATCATTATCGGATACATTCCAACCAATATATAAAATTTCATTTCCCATATGCCTGACGCTTCCACTGCTTGTATCGCCCATGCTACTACGACAAAGTAGGAGTAAGTGGAACATCGCTACTGATCTTTTAAAGATAGGTGATGTGGTAGTAATCAAAGATGAAGAGACTTCCCCACTCCTCTGGCCTCTGGCAAAATTAATAGAATTGCTGCCAGGCAAGGATTCTCTTGCTCAAACAGGTGTATCCACACCTAATTGCGAATACCTTAGGTTTATAAAGAAAGCTAGGTTACCCTTTAATCAATAGTGGCGCTTTCAGCCAAATATATAGCTTCTTATTTCTATAAGTTAGACTTTAGTTTCACTAGATGTTAAATAGTTCTTAGTTATATTAGTTTTTTACAACAATATTTTTAATCTATACCGGTTTACCCTCGTTCTCTAAGTAACTATTTGATACCCTATCCCAGTGGCGTAACTCTTCTCGCCCGGCCCCAGTATGTTCAATTTTCTCACATGCGAAAAATCATGTTATTTTTTCGCTGTATTAATAACTATCCTTTTATTACAATTTTACAATCAACATCTTAGTCCAACCCTTAATAACCCTTCCTACTTACATTTTACCCCCTCTCCATTAGAAATACAGACAGTTTCAAGATAGCAAAGAAAAAAGAGCTTTCTTGATTATCAGCTGTCGATTAGGACAGAACTCTTAGTTTGGCCATCACTAGTGCCAAACGTTCTCTCTCTTGATCTCTCTCTCTCTTCGCTTATCAAGAAGAACAGCATCTATCTTGGCTGTTCTTCTATCGTAATTACCTCTTTCCCGCTTTAGTTACGCGAGAAATATCGAAAATACTGTTTTAAATCGTGTACAGACAAAGTGTGCTCTATTTCGCAAATTGTAGTACTGCGAAATACGTGTTTAGAAAAACCGCGATTGTGCCCGGACATATTTCGCATAAGAAAAGAAAAACCATGAGAGTGTGGAGCAGAAAAAATATTGGTAAGACTTTCTATAAACTTCATTTGCTATTGTCTGTATACCTTTTATTACTTATCCTAATTTTATTGAACCAGCCCTATATAATACAGTCCACATACACGAAAATTATACTAATAATTTCCCACATATGTACACACTTTTTGGCCACCGTTGTAAGAAATTACAACCAATGTTTGAAGGTCCATACAGAATCGAAAATCAGAATGGACAAAACAGTTATATCTTGATAGATGCAGACAATATAATTAGAGGGATATTTCATTATAAAGACATTTTTAAATATCATGAAGAGATTGAATAATGTTTTCTATACCTTTAACACTGATAGCACTACAAACAGTTCAATATTCACTGA